TTTGAACACTGGTGAAGCGACACGTATAGCAAAACCTCCGGCTCGAGAAAGCCGACTCGACCTATCTTTGTGTTCAAGATCGCTATCATTGGATTGTCAGTGGAAGGTTATCAATGATCCCCATGGTAGCGATCATTTGCCAATCATCATTTCAATAAAGTGTGGCCCTCACTCTGCAGAACCATCTCGGGTTCCATTTGATCTTACAAGGAACATCGACTGGCAGAAATATGCAACGGCGGTGACAATCGGTGTCGAATCAATAGATGCGCTTCCACCATTGGAAGAATATCGATTCCTAGCCGATTTGATTTACAAAAGCTCACTGGAAGCACAAAAAAGAAAAGTTCCAAGTGCACCCTTTAAAAGGAGACCAGCCACACCTGGTTGGGACGAAGAATGCACAAAATTGTATGTAGAAAAATCTGATGCTTTCAAAGCTTTTCGTAGACACAAAACCTCCACATACTTCGAGGAATATTCAAAGCTTGAGACAAAGCTGAAACAATTAATCAAAGCAAAAAAACGCGGTTATTGGCGCAATTTCGTCGAGGGACTCTCACGAGAAACCTCAATGAACACCTTGTGGAGGGTGGCTCGCAACATGCGTAACCGCTCATCTTTCAATGAGAGTGAAGAATACTCCAACCGATGGATATTCGATTTCGCTAAAAAGGTCTGTCCGGACTCAGTTCCAGCACAAAATATTCTTCGAGAAGCGTCTCCTAGCGGCGGCTCTCTGGACAGACCATTCTCAATGCTGGATTTCTCTATGGCTCTTCTTTCATCGAACAACTCCTCACCGGGAAGCGATATGATTAAATTCAATCTTCTGAAAAATCTCCCAGATATCGCTAAAAGACGCTTGCTAGATTTATTCAATTCCTTGCTAGAAAACAACATTGTACCGCCTGAATGGAGACAGGTCAAAGTAATAGCCATTAAAAAACCTGGCAAATCAGCGTCTGACCATAACTCATACCGTCCGATTGCTATGCTTTCGTGCATTAGGAAATTGTTGGAGAAAATGATCCTTCGGAGACTCGATCACTGGGTCGAATCAAATAACTTGCTATCAAATACACAATTTGGGTTCCGCAAGAGCAAAGGAACAAACGATTGTCTAGCGCTGCTTTCCACAGATATTCAACTGGCCTTTGCACACAAGGAGCAATTGGCTTCAGTATTCTTGGACATTAAGGGGGCTTTTGATTCAGTTTCCATTGAAATTCTGTCAGACAATCTGCACAGATGTGGACTTTCTGGAATTTTAAATAATTTCTTGTACAATTTGTTGTCAGAAAAGCAAATGAACTTTTCCCTTGGACAACTGACAACTTCCAGAATTAGCTACATGGGCCTGCCCCAAGGCTCATGTCTCAGCCCTCTTCTTTATAACTTTTACGTCAAAGATATCGACAACTGTTTGGCAGAACAATGCACGCTAAGACAACTTGCAGATGACGGTGTGGTTTCCGTAAGAGGTCCACATGCCGTGGACTTGCAAGGACCATTGCAAAATTCCTTAGATAACTTGTCTTCTTGGGCTATGAATCTAGGGATCGAATTCTCGCCGCAGAAAACTGAACTGGTAGTGTTTACTCGAAAGCGGTACCCAGCCCAAATGCATCTTAATCTTTTGGGCAGAAACATTACTCAATCATCGTCTTTCAAGTACCTTGGGGTCTGGTTTGATTCAAAGTGCACTTGGAATGCCCATATTACGTATTTGAAGCAAAAATGTCAGCAGAGGATCAACTTTCTCCGTTCAATTTGCGGCACATGGTGGGGTGCTCATCCGGGAGACCTCATAACGCTTTATAAAACAACTATTCTCTCTGTTCTAGAGTACGGCTCTTTCTGCTTTCTCTCGGCAAGAAAAAGTCACCTAATAAAATTGGAACGAATTCAATATCGTTGTCTGCGTATTGCTCTAGGCTGTATGCACTCAACGCATAACATGAGTCTCGAGGTTCTGGCAGGAGTAACACCCCTCCAGAACCGTTTCTGGGAGCTCTCTCTCAGAAAACTAATCAAATGCGGAGTGACGAACACACTTATAATTGCAAATTTTGAAGAAATTCTTGAGCTGAACACACAATCTCGATTTATGAGAATCTACCACCACTACATATCATCAGATATGTGTCTTCCTTGTTATACTCCAGACCGTGTTCACTTCACCAATCGCAGTTCCTCAATTGAATATGATCTGACCATGAAACAAGCAACTCATGGGATTCCCGATCAACTTCGACCTATTATTATTCCGCGTATTTTTACTGAAAAGTACCAACAAGTCAATTGCATGAAAAGATATTTTACAGACGGGTCCCGTCTCAATGGATCCACTGGCTTCGGTGTCTTCAATGAAAACTCTAGCGCCTTCCGCAAACTTCAGGAACCTTGTTCCGTTTTTGTTGCTGAGCTGGCAGCAATCAACTTCGCATTGGGGATGATTTCCAACATGCCCACAGACCATTACTTCATCTTCTCGGATAGTCTCAGTTCGATTGAGGCTATTCGGTCGATGAAACAAGGTAGGCACTCATCTTATTTCCTTTCTAAGGTAAGGGAGCAGATGTGTGTGCTGGTCGAAAGATCATATATGATTACCTTTGTATGGGTCCCCTCACATTGCTCAATCCCAGGCAATGAGAAGGCGGACTCTCTCGCAAAGGTGGGCGCGCAGGAAGGCGAATTGTATGACAGGCAAATTTCACACGATGAATTTTACCATTTAGTGCGTCAGAGTACCTTTTCGAGTTGGCAAACCGATTGGGACACTGGAAATCTTGGACGGTGGTTACATTCAATTATTCCTAATGTTTCTTCGAGAGCGTGGTTTAAAGGCTTGGGCTTAAGTCGTGACTTCATTCGCGTGATGAGTAGACTTATGTCCAACCACTACTCGCTAGATGCTCATCTCAATAGAATAAACCTCGTGGACAGCAACATCTGTCGGTGTGGAAACGGTTACGATGACATCGAACACGCAGTTTGGCAATGTACGGATAATGACGCCGCCAGAGAGCAACTTTTGAATACCCTCGAGGCCCAAGGAAGACAACCCTATGTTCCTATCAGAGACGTGTTGGCAACCCGTGATCTCTGCTATATGCAGTCCGTTTATGTTTTTCTTCAAATGTCTAGTATAAGAATTTAATTCCTTTTGTCTTTTGTCTCTCTTTATTAGTTTTTGTTTGTCTTGTCCCCCCGTCTCGATGAGTCTCATCGTCGCCCACTGGTCACCCACCATAGCCGGTCGAACTCCGGACGAAGGTAGAACAGCACTACCGTTCATACTGGCGACAACGCTCTGATGAGACAACGAAACCCTACCCCAAGCTCCTCCCCTGATCCTATCCTTCGAAAATGTACCCTTCTAACCTCGAGTAAGCCGCGAGTAATCGGCCCAACTCCTACTAGACATAGAATTAAGTGAATTTTGTTACACACAGTGAACAATGAATTATCGGCTCCGTAAAGCTAACGCGATTGAGCCTCCCAAATAAACAAACTAGATAAAAAAAAAAAAAATAAATTTTTTAGGAACATGAAACTTAGGTTTGCCTAGATGAAGCCCATAACCAATTGGCTGCAAGGTCATCGCACTTGGACATGAGTAAACTCTTCCATAAAAATGCACCGGTTTCTGCACTGCCATCGCAACCCTAATAAAAAATAACCATAAACGAACGATAACCCTAATCATTGAACTATACCACAAATGGTTTGGATGATACCCATAACACGTCGTTAAGCAAATTAACCATACAATTTTTATTAGGGAAGTCGGTTCCATTTGCGTTTTTATCAAAACTGAGTTTTTCAATGGAAGTGGTAGCTAATCACCCCTAGTTTTGTAGTACTGGATAAACTAAACAACTTTGTTCTGAAAAGTTTGGAAAAACAGCCAAATTGGATAACAGCCATTGCATAAGAAGCAATAGTACGATGCGAACATAAAAGGCGTTTTTCTCGGCTTGCTGATTTGTGTTATGGGATCAGAGAAACCAGGCTTATTTTGAAAAGATCTGGCAAAACCCGAAAAAAAAAATGTCTGACAAAAGTCTGGCACAGCAAATTAAAATAGGAAGCTGTCAGATTCCCCAAAAAATCTGGCAACATTGTATGGGACGGACTTGCCATGAGCGCCTTTTAGCCTTAAACTGAGTTTATACAAGGCTAGAGAGTTGATTTAAACTCACCCAGATCTGGTAGTCGGTTTTCAATGGACTTGATATCGTATAGAACAAATTCGATATCGACCAGCTTTCTCGACGATCATTTTGCAGTTCAAGTAAGTTGAACGCTGAATTGAATCATCTAAACAGGGCTTGGTTAACTTCTCATTTATATTGGATATTAGCCATTTGGTTTTTCAAGTCGGTTATCCACGTATCGATTATCTTATGCAATGTGGACTTGCACCGCGGGCACGGTAGACTACGATACGATTCAAACTGTTTTAATCGTAGGGGAAATGGCTCTAATGTTGGCCTTTGGATCTAAGATTGGGCCCATCGCTAAAAATCTGCTATTTATAAGTTTTATCTAGATGAACGCGTCATTGGGACGGTACTAATGGATATTTTGGGTCGCTATTGAAATTTAGTCGATTGCTCAGTTTATGTATGGGCCCAAATTAGGGACATTTAGGCTGACATTACATCCATTTCCACTAGTTGAATTATTGAGCCTATATTTCGTTGGTCGAACAAGTCACTGCTTGGCAAACCATCAGTTAAAGAGCAGCCCAATAAAATGCCAGCACTGCTGAAACCCTACAACAGCGCATTTACAAACTGTTATACACCCGGTAGCTCTTTCTCGCGAGAGAATCATCCCATAACCGAGAGAGTGCCGCACTCTCAATGAGTGAACCGCACGGGCGCGAAAGCAGCAACAAGTGATAACCGTTGGACGTGACATGCTAACGATTGCCATGTGGTGAGGGCGCCATTCAATTAAAGCTGTATGTTGTAATTCAAACTCACCCCCTCGGCCACAATCTCCACCAAAATCGTCGACCGCTCGCTTCCCTGGGAGCCCTCGTGCAGATTCAGTGCCTTCCGTTTCAGTGTGCATTCCGTTGATTTCTTATTGTGGAACTTAAACAGTGCTGCATCCAACCGTTCGTACTCACTGACCGGTGCGAATCGGACCGTATTCTCCGATAATTCACTCTGCAGTGCGAAAGCCGCATCCGAGAGGGTCTCTTCAGGGTCCAAACAAAACGTCTCGCAAGCAATCTGTAAGCATGGTGGGAACGCATCTAAAGAATTTGTCAATTAATAATGCGATTTCGTTCACAAACCTTAAACACTTCCGGTGCCCACTTTCTGAACGCTTGCTCCTGACCGCAGATCTCATCGCCGGATGCTATCTTCATCAGCCGTTCCCCGCCCAGTTCGCCCAGAATGTTATCAATATACTTCCCGTAGGCGCAAAAATTCGGATAAGCCGACGACCCGAGGGCAAACACGGCGAACCGCACGTTGGACAGCGGTCCAAACGTTTCCTCCGAGAGCGTGTCCGTGGTGGAACCCCTCAACGAGTCCAGCCGGTCCATTTTCCGATTTCCCTGCCCGTGCTTGTTCATGTCACTGCGGGAGTTCGCTTTGATGAACGATTTCGACGACGCGGCAATGCTGAGCTCGCTGTGTGCCTGACTGTGGCCACCCTCGTGCAGTTTCATCGCGTACAGGTCCTGTGCGAAGAGCTGCGGAATGAATAGATGGAAAGCAATAACGATTCAATACCACGTGTTCTAGTGCTATCATTGCGAGGAAAAAGGAATCTCGACGGTATCTGTTTGAAGTGGTTCTTCAATTGGGACAAGGAAAAAAGATCTCGGGTATTAAAGAGGTGGGACAAAAGTAAAAATAATAAATACCGACCATTTTTTTCTGAAACTCAATCAAGTGTTCTCTAAATCCCTGTGGAACGGAAATAAGGAAAATTAATATCAATTTGTAGAAAAATGCTGCGACGATGGGGTTGAACTTGCCAAGTGTGGTTAGTGTTTCAAGCGGTCGTTTCGGTTGACATGAGATGCTGACCCCACAAATGAGCACCTGTTATGATGGTTTATTTCAAATCGAAGCCTGAGTGTTCGCTGTTAGTATGTAAGTAGCCGTTTAGAAAGCATAGCCTAATGTTACTTGAAAGGGAAGGTAATTGCTATTGTTTGTCGTAAAATCACGTATATATTTTGTACTACATTGTTGGCGCATCTTGTATTTCTCAGTTGGGTGAGCACCCTATCTTGAGAACTAATTTTCACCATTTTCTAGACGTAAATATAATTACCCTCCCATATCTCATCCAGCAATTAAGCACTTTGTCTTCCAGTAATAAACCCTGCACTAATTCACTGGACCGCCCACAAACATTCACATCCGGTGTGGTACTACGACACAACCCGCAACAAATCGCCACGTAATCAACTTGATTAACGCGAGCAAATGAAACAAACCCAGTTTCACAATCCCACCACCAATTGAGCAGTGAGACGGTAGGGAATGGCATCCGTTTTAAATTTCACAAATTAAAACTAAATTGATTAAGAGACATTAAGCTGTCTGGTCACGAAATGGAATCCTCCTCTCCCGGAGGATGTGGCTTGCATTGCACCCTCCATTTTTTTTTTGTTTTCCTAAATGAGAGTCAGTTATTCTTCCATCCCACAATCCACATTTCAAACCGGGCGTGAGTCCGAGAAAATTAAACCGTTATGTGTGCATCCTGACTGCTCGTGTTATGGCAAGAGACGACGCTGCTGATCTCTTGGAAAAAGGGTTGAGTTGCCGTGCGGGGTAAATTTCACCAGTGAGAATAAAATGATAATATCCCGCTCCGGAGCATACATAAACATAAGCACTAGCGAAAGAAAAATGAACCGGTTTGCTCGGAAGGATCGTTGGATCAATCTTTTGGAGAGAGAAAGAAAAAGGGGGTGTTGAATAGATAAAGTCGTTGGTGGAGCTATTGCTGAATCTGAAACGCCGATGCGTTACGTGACAGATGAACTTACTGACAGTGACAGTTGATTACATGTCGGGCACGTAGTGTCATAAATCGTTGAGACGCAGCGCCTAGATCCCAAGTCAGCCGTTGGTGACGCAGATGGTTCTTGAAAAGGGATTGATGGATTTTCCGAAGCAATCTTCCTCCCAAATTGCTTCATTCTGATTTGCGAAGATTGCAAACAGGTACCAATGTTTCGACGCAATTAACCTGCTGGCATAGCTACCTATTTTGAATGGAATGAACTTCCAGAAAATATCCGACCTAATCTTTCTCAAATCAAGTGAAATATTTCACTTTAATACTATTTTGATCGACTCTGCTCCTGGCATGGAATGAATTGCAGTTTGGAAACACGTGTGAATATGATTTATTACTCACATACTAAAATTAATGCGAGTGTGTGTGTGAGTGAATAAACTTTCCTCCGTTTGGTTTAAAACCTTGTGGCAGAACGACGCTTGGCGGTGGTGGCGCTATTTGCTGCTTTTCTTGAGTTGAGAGTTATGTTGTGGTTTGAACGATGAAGTCTTGCTGGAAGCGACAGCAACTTACCAGCAACCGGTGTGGCAAAAGCTTGAAACGAAACACTCGTTGTCCTAGCGGAGCTTGGGATGATCATTTTCAAGAATTTTGTGCACTTTAAGGAAGTGGTATACGATTGCAAAGACGATTTATGGGTGGAAAATATGCTTTTATAATCGTAGAACCTGTACCATAATAATGTTACGGATAAGTTTTATTGAACTACCATCAAGATCATATTGATTTAATCTGTTTGTGAACAACGAGGTTTACGTATGCTAGTGAGAAAAACACATGGTTTTTAACAAAACTGTTGTCAGCGGTGGGCTGTAGCACTAACTTGGCTCATTCTTTGCATAATGCCCTCCCCCACTCGTCACAAGAAACCCAACCCCAGAGCTGGTAGAATGTATGTGATGCAATAGAAGTGATTTTAGTGACTAAAATAACGAAAATAGTGACTTTTAAACAATGAGCAATTCCCTACAAACTCGCAAATCGGTTAATTTTTTATTTTTTTTATTTGATTGAAAATTTGCGGAACGTTTCTTATGACCGACAATGCCATTTTGCATCATCATATCGCCATTTTGAATTCAGTTTTATTTTTGAAAAGGGCATATAAAAAAATATCAAGCATATCTTCAGAAATTTTTTACTCGAATACTGTTTGTCCGATCGGTTGGGTGCCTTGCGCAATATTGCAGGTAATGTATGAGACTTTTTGAAAAAAATATGCATTCTAAAAAAAAACCCAACTTTTTATTTTTAATTTAAAATAAAGTATTAAGAACATTTTTTGGTATTTTTTGTTTGTTGTTGATATGATTTAGGAGACAAAAAATGCCTTCTATTGCACTATAGGTTAAGATGGAGAAATGATGGACAACAAGTTTTTGGAAAAATATCCAAAACTTGTTCCAATTACTGTTTTGACTTTATATAATGAAAGTACACAAAATTTACAATAAATAATCACCAGGGTAAAATTTTGCTAAGTCACACCGTTTTCGAGATGTAGCGATTTAAAAGTAAATATTTTAAATGTTTTAAAGTTTTAGGCCATTTTTAAATGTATTTCACGGTTCTCCAGTTCCGAATTTTTTTTTCTGAAAGATCAGAAAATTTTATCAATCAATCCATTTAGTTTAAATATAGCATTTCAAAGTGTAAAACATTCCTGCTTAGTAATTCAGATTTTTTTCTGTTTAAAAAACCTTTTATAGCAAGAAAGCCTAAAACTGTCTTATTTTAAAAATAAATTTAAAACAGTTCTCAATTCCTCCTTAAAACTGTTCTGTAATTCAAGCATAAACGTCATTATCAATTGTTTATTAATGTCTTGATAAAATTCTTTATAAACGTGTTCTATAATTATAAAAGCAACCATAAAACCATTAGGTTTTGCATTAGAGCAAAAAGCATTTATTGTTGCTTTTTATGCTATGCTCTCCAATTACTTTGTTTACAAATTGAGCTTAAAAGATGGTTCCCCATAGTTAATAATCGCCAAATTTATGACAAGGAAATCTCGAAAGATAAACGAAGTAGGATGAAAAATTCAAATCGATTTCAACAAAATTTACTTCTTTAGAAGAACCAGCACACCATCAACGACTGATCATTTGGCGGAGAAGAGTAAAGTGAGCGTGGCCCTCGAATTCATAAAACATTGTCGAAAGCTTAAAAACATACCAGCCTTCTCCAGATGTTACAAATAGATGACAATCGAATATTCGGCGAAAGGATCAACACTTCGAAAATTTCATTCAAGCGTACAATAGACCGATGCAAAATTTGAAATTTTCGCTGCACAGTGTTCAAACGGTTCCAATTTGGTTCCTGATTAGCCTTCCAAAATTTGAAGTCATTTAGTAAGAAACTGACTTGGCACAAACCATTTGAAGTTTATAAGGAAATTACTATAGGAAACCCAAATTTTGATCAAATTTTAACCCTATTACTCTGCTGTAAAAATTGATAGCTGTACTTGCAGTAAATTTTCACAGTTACAACTTTGTTTTTCGATAAAATTTAAGGATCAAAAGTTATTAATGATTCAAGTCACTATTGGCTTATGATTATGCTCAGCAGGCAACATTGGTGTTTCTGGCGCGTAGAATAGAGCTAAAACATCATGGCTACTATGTCACACTGCACAATACAGTGTTGCCCACAAAACAGTAGCTTAATCATGCCATAAAATTATCAATCTCTTAAACAATTAATAACTATTTAATTTGATGTTTGGCTGAAGAACAATATTCCGCAAAGTTGTAGCTGAGAAAATTTTCAAAAAGAATAGGTATAAAAAACTTTAACGATGCAATATGGAAGAAGGATAGAAGACTACTAGAAAAAGTTTGGTTTCCCCATAGTAATTTCCATATAAACTTCAAATGGTTTGTGCCCCATCAGTTTCTTACCAAATCAGTTCAAACCTTGGGAGGCTAATCAGGAACCAAATTGGAGCCGTTTGAATACTGTGCAGCGAAAATTTCAAATTTTGCATCGGTCTATTGTACGCTTGAATGAAATTTTCGAAGAGTTGATCCTTTCGCCGAATAAAATCGCTACTATGGATCGGAAACCAGTTGATCTTCGCTAACTAACAGTTTCAGTGGTTTGCTGTCGGTTGTTATTTCGATTGTCATCTATTCTGGAGAAGGCTGGCATGTTTTTAAACTTTCGACAATGTTTTATGAATTCGAAGGCCGCGCTCACTTTACTCTTCTCCGCTAAATGGTCAGTCGTTGATGCTGGTTCTTCTAAAGAAGTATTTTGTAACAGCTTGAGCACTGTGGAGCGAAAATGTCAAATTTTGCATCAGTCTAGCGTACATCCCTGCATCGTTGGATGGTGCACTTCTGTAACCATCCGGAAGAAGGGGATCTTTTTCGGGAACGATTGCGCTTCCAGCTGTCCGAAATGCAAAATGTTGTAAAACAGTATCGCAAACTATCTGAGTAGCTGCTCCCAATTCATCGGGAGAAAACCGCCTGAAAGAACCCTAGATCCCACAGCGCAACTATCGAAAGATAAACAAACTTTGACGTTTAACTTTTTGCAGGCAACTTTGCCTCCATAAATGCTGCCATAAATCTGAACGGGTTAGGATCAAGCAAAATGGTTTAAGATAAATACAACTCAGCCTGGAAGTTTTCTTCATAAAAGCCATTTTAAACCATTATTAATTTGTTAAGAATTTCTTGAAAGCAAAACAACTTTTTCACAAATTACAGTCAGGAATCCTTATTGCCGGGGTAACGGGGGCGTGAATAAGGAATCGCGAATAAGGATACCCACAGCTTATGGGATTTTCACTAATGGGGGCTGTAGTGGATTATCTCATTTGTTGCAATACATAAAGCTATACTGTCTTCGA